GGGTTTTCCCAAGAGTCTTCAGAGAGATTGTGGCCCTGCCAACACCCTGATTCCAGACGTCTTAACTCCAGAACCGAGAGTTAAGTTTCTGTTGTTAGGCCACCCAGGTTATAGTACTTTGTTGTAGCAGCCCTGGGAAAATGACAGACTATGGCCCCTGAGGACAGGAGCCTATGGATTTCCACTCAGCACTGGCTTCCAGCTTCCAGCACAGTGTCTGGTTATGTGATCATAACTTCAAACGGGAAAGACGACCGTCACAATTACCGGGGGGAGTTCTTACCAGGGATTCCTGCCTAGCAAGGAAGCCTGTTCCACTCCAAGAAGATTCATCCACATGTTGTTGAAATATTTTAATAAAAGAAAGGAGTGTTTCTTCTCCTGAAGGTTTCTAAGCCAGTATCACCTGAATCATTGGGTAGCACTCCCTTCTTTCCCTTTCCCTGAAATAGCTGAGTAATTGCATAATTTTCTTCTTTATTTCAGTTGCACAGATATTTGGCTCTGCACATAGGTGTGGTGATTGGTTAGTGGCCAATGAACACAAAACCATGGCTCCAAAGAATGTGCCTACAAAAACACCTCCCTTTGAATTAATTAAATTGAACTTCATCCCTGCAAGTTGGTTCAATGGTCTGTTACTGAATGCTGAGTCCTGGAAGAGAGACGATGTCGCTGTCTTTGTCTTTAAACCTAGCTGGAGCAATAAAAACAGGAACACATGACACAGGAGTAGACAGGGGAACACAGCAACCACAGCCACGCCTCGGAGCAGAGTCCTGAGGAGTTTAGAAGACAGGACCACTGGGGACGTACGCCAGATACTGAGTTAAAAAAGGAAAAGCAGGTAGTAACACAGTTTGTGGAGTATTAACCTCCATGTAATAAATATTTCTAAATAGAATGAAATCAAAGCTCCTATACACACGCATCTATATGTTTGGATAATCACAAAAATATAAAATTAGGAAAACATACGGTGACAAATGGGAAAGAGAAAACGCGAGTGTACCTTAGATTTTTGTACATAAATCTGTATCATCTGAATTGTTAAGAAGAGAGGTAAGTGGAACTGTAAAACTTAAGGAAAAAAGTAAAGTAAGCCAAAATATTTATCTTCATGCTTCTCTCAAAATGAGATTAGCCCAAGAGTGACACTGTTAGCTCTCTCGGGCCTATTATTTCTTCCAGGTGAGAATGATCGTGTCCAGGAGAAGCCCTTCCGCTTCCGAGTGAGCAGTCCCAGCTGGCTGCTCTGCGGCAGGCAGCGTCTGTCTGCAGATGGGCATGTTTCACCACATGGACTGCAGAGAATCCAGCGATTTGGGCTCCACTCCCTCCACCTCGCAAAATAAATACATAAATAATACATTGGAAGCCAAGAGAAAATCCTATCACCCTGATTCAGTAGCTCACATTGAGCAGAAGGCTGCCACAGTGTGCAATATGTAGGCAGTTGGTAAGGGTGACTAAAGACTTAATGTATCTGATAATGCCAAGTGCAAGAAATTAGTCAGAGCAAGGCTTGCAAGCAGCAGCTTATTAATGATTTATTGAATTTTTCTTAAGGTCAGTAGTTTATGATTTGCCATTTTAAAAATATACTGTAACAAAAAGATGTATATTTTGCTTGATAAGAATTGAATGGTTTTCTAAATGCATTTTTAAGAGGAGAAAATTAGTATGAATAGCCACTGCCAGCATACCCCATGTCCAATATAACCACGGGAACTCCAGTGCAGATAAGCAGTTTCCTTACTGTTGTTGGTAGAAATACATTTCTCAGAGGGAGAAAAGACCATCCTTAGGTCAGAAAGTTGGTGTTATCAGCTTGCAACATTATTCTTGCTGGGTAATTTTACATCAGGGACCATTATTTCACTTCAAGAGTACTGGAAATTCACAGTTAGCCTAATCAGTCATCTTACTCAGGGAACTTCAAATGCATTTTTTCATATTCTGACATGCATGCATGGCATTTACATTTCTTTCTGTAGCAGACAAGGTCACAGGTAGAAAATATGAAAGTTAATCAAAAGAACTGATGAGAGAAACATCCAGAAGCCCAGTGCTGTGCCCAGAGCCCTGACTCAGGACAAGATTCTCTGCCATTAGGGTGTGACTACTCAGTAAGGTGGCAAAGTAAAGTCCTACAGAAAAGGAGTAAGAAAGGGTGAGAAAAATTCATACCTTCTGACTACCTTTGAAAACACTCTCCTGCAGATCAGTGTCTGCCATTACTTATTAATGTATTTACTATTAAAATAAATATGTATTAGGTACCTGTCATCTACTGTGGTAGGTACTGTTCTACCCGCTGGGAACATGATAGTGCGTGGGCAGATAAGCATGGTGTCTTCACAGGAAAGGCCACTTGAGCAGTGACACAGTGTGACATGGTGAAAGGTATACAGACGGGATCCATGGTAGAGACATCTATCTATACCAGGGAGGGGAAGTCAGCATTCTGATCTTTAAGTGGGAGCACAAACAACATAGGGGAGGGTGAGGTTTCCAGAAACAAAAACTGAACATGGATGGTCCAGAAGTTTAAGAGAGCCTGGAGCTCCCAAGTAAGTGCAAAGAGGCTGGTATGGGTGAAACATATTTTGAAAACAGAAACAGTGAGAAATGAAGTGGGAGACGTGAAAAAGATGTTGGCTAGTTTCTTGAACTATGCCTAAAGGCAATGAGAAGTCACTAGCAAGTTGTCCGTGAGGAAATCACGTGATCCCATTTGCATTTTGGTAAATGCCCCAGCTGCAATGTGATCAGAATGATCCATCTAGATCAGAATCGTCCATCATAGAAATTCATAGGAGACATTAAGGAAACCAGTGGAGACGGGGATGGAAGGAAGTGTACAGAGTCCATTGATATTTAGGTAGTAGAGATATAAAAAGGAAAAGCCAAACCTGACCTCCAGATTTCTGCCTGTAACATCAGGTGCAGGGATCTGTCATTAACTTGGGGACACACAGGAGGGGCAAGCTTGAAGCAGAAAGCCCAGGCTTACGTGGTGTTAACAGGATGCTCACAGAGGGAGAATTTTTAAAATAATTATTCCAGCCTCTTACCATCTGGAAAGGAAAAGTCTCTTTGGAGAATATTCTGTTGCTGTTCCTGAAAGAGTAGATTGAATGTTCTCTAAAAATTAAAGTTAAAAGGTACCTCCTGCACCCTAGGAAAAGCTACATTAAAAACTTTACCTTCCCAGACACTTGGGAAAAGAAGATAAAACAATTTTCTTGGTCAATCCAGGAGTCCATATGCCTTCAAGAGAATGGTTTCGTCTTTCTTATGGGTATTAACCCAGGCTCAAAGGAATAGACACCACTGGGCAAAAACTGGGTGTCATGAACTAGTCAAGGTAAGACACCCAATAATCCCAGAAGATAACTCACCAGGAATGGGGACCTGTGGCTTTTCAATCTCATTGTAATGGCCCCCAAACCCCTGGAATTAGCCACCTGCTATATGTGTTAAGCTGAAATGAGAACTCACTGCCTTGGATAGAGTGTTGGAGAAGAGTATGTAGGGATGTGAGCTGGAGCCCAAGATGTGGCCAGCTGAGAGGGTCAGAATCAGAGGGCTTATGGCCGGGACAATGCAGTACCAGCTCTCAAAGACAACATACGACAATGAATACAAAAACAAGAAAGAATCCCAAAGGACATCAGAGATCAACTGTGTTTGGACTGAATAAATTTTGGAACATTTGGAAAAATCAGTGCTAATAGGAGACTTAAGAGAGATGTATTAGAATTTCTATTAGCAAAGGCATGTAGCACTTGAGCTACTAAATGGAAAAGTAAGACATTTGACTATCTACACTAAAAACTGGTAAAGTAGGGCACACTGCCTGTGTTTGCTATATTTGTTATGATGGCTCTACTTTTTACCAGTATTTCAAATCTATACCAGAAGGAAAAAAGCAATCAATGCTTTACAATCATATATTGTTACATGATTTTTCAAAGCGCTTTTGTAAATGTGGAAACATTTACTATTTTTTGCCATCTCATTATCCTATCTACTTTATTCTGACTACAAAGCTGTTCTTTTCTTTAATAGCTCCTTATATGTGATTTAGCTGGGGCTAATCTTGCCCAGAGGACTGAACCCAATGCTTGTTTAAGGAAAGGACAGATGTGTGTCCTGGGTGAATATGAATTTTCTCCATAATTTCCATAACCTGAGTAAAGCATGGGAGGAGAAAGGGGATTTCTTCAGAATCATTACTTTAAAAGATGATAAGAACAAGGAACCAGCTATCATATGAGAGGATATGAATAGCTGTGGGTTGAAAAAATAATCATTCATACCCTAAAGGATTGGAAGCTGCTAGATTAAGAAGAGATAGGGAAAATGCTGGGTTGAAAGACTTCCTAAGTTCCCTCTGGAAGGATACTGCTAGATGATGTGAAAAGATGGGGAAGGACAGCACTCTCTCTCCTTCATTCTGTCTTCTCCACCTTCTCCCTTATATTCTGGCCAAATGGAAATCAAGAATTCCTGAAAGTAGATTTCCCCTTCTTATGTTTGAGAAAAGTAAAACCCAGAGAAAACAAAGTCACTAAAAATGATACATTTCTTGACAGCAACTGTCCAATAGTCACATGTGTCAGAAACTAGATAAGACAGCAAATGGGTTCTTCCATTTCTTGATTTTATCTTATTATAAAGATTTCTTATTTTGTTAGAAGTTTCTTGTGGGTGTCAACACATTAAAACTCATCAAATAAATGAAAGTCTGTTTTGCATAAGTACATGTTATTATGCAAGCCACCAACACTTCACAGCAGAACCAGACTCATGATGCTGACCTTGTACCCAAGTACAGAGCCTCAAGAAAATGGCAACATTTTACTGCATAAATGCAGACTGATTCCTGCGTTTTCTTTTTCTCTTGCTTTAGCTATATGTTTGATAGATTTCTATTGCCTCAATAAAATATTTGAAAGAACAACTTAAAAGGAGGAAAGGCTTAGTTGACTCACAGTTTCATAAGATTCAGCCCATAGTTTCTTGGCCCCATCACCTTGGACCTGTGGCAAAGCAAAAAATCATGGTAGAATAAAACTACCCAACTCATGTTAGACAGAAAGGAGGGGGGAACAGGGAGAGGGAG